GATCTCTATGTGGTATAAAGCTTGCATCTCCCTCTATCCACCTCTCCAGTTGTTTTTTTCTCATTTCAATTAAATTCTCAGTCGAGTTAGTTTTAGTTATGGCATTCTTGCTTAGGTCATTTGTCTGTTAATCGCTTACTGTTTTTAGCTCAGTCAGGATTATTGGGTAAAGTTTCTCCTAGTCAAATTGATGAATGTTGGGGGTGAAAACTTGCTAAAATGTCAGCTTTACCTTTTAATAAAAGTACTTCTGTTTCTATTTCTCCATTTTTTCTCGTGCATACTAATGTCTGGGGACCCTCTATTGTTCTCACTAAAAAGGGTTCCGCATACTATGTGTCTTTTGTTGATGATTGCACCCGTTATACTTGAATTTATCTTATGACTCATAAATCTTACTTCTACTAAATATATCGTACATTTCAGTCTATAAACACTACACAGTTTAGGGCTACCATTAAATTGTTACGATCTGACTTTGGTGGAGAATATTTTAAAACTGAGTTCTGTAAGTGTTTGGCCAATTTGGATACCATTCACCAAACTTCTTGTACTGATACACCTGATTAAAATGGTCAAGGCGAGCATATACACCGTCATCTCCTTGAGACAGCTAGGTCTCTTTTTATTTCTGCCTCAGTTCCAACTTCGTTTTGGAAAGAGACATTTCTTACTACTGCTTTTCATCTTAACCGCAAGCCTACTCCCTTTCTTTCTGGTCGGTCTCCTTATGAAGATCTGTTCTCTCAACTTCCCAATTACTCCCTCCTTCATGTGTTTAGGTCTGCTTGTTTTGTCCTTCTTCCCTGTAAAGATCGGACCAAACTTAGTGTCCGGTCTGTCCTATATGTCTTTTTGGGTTATAGTCTTACTCGGAAAGGCTATCGGTGTTACGACCCTATTTCCTGTCGCCTTTACGTCTCCCATCATGTTCCTTTTCTTGAACGTCTGCCTTACTTTCAGCTTTCTCCTATCACTGCTCCAGTTTCCAAAGAGGATTTGGTTCACATTGATCCATTTCCTTCTGACGTCCCTCCTGATGAGTACATCTCTATTGTTCCCTATGACCTTGTTCCCTCTTCTCCTCCTATCACCCCTCTTGATGTGTCTTTCTCCACTGAACCCCATGAATCTACTCCCTCTTCTCCTCCTCCTCCTCCTCCTCCTCCTCCCCAGCCTGCTCCTTCTCCTCCTCCATTGTTAGTTTATTCTCGTCGCAAGGCTCCCCCTCAATTGTCTCTACCCCTACTGCTGATCCTCTTGCTTCTGATGCCTTTGATCTTACTCACCGTAAGTATCCCCTTCGCATCCGTAAACTGGTTATGAAACTTGATTTTGCTAAAATAGTCTTTTCTCCTTCATATTGTACATTTTTGTCTGTTATTCACTCTTTTTTAGAATCTCAGTCTTACAAGAAGGCCTGTCAGGATCTCCATTGGATTCAAGCTATGTAGAATGAGTTGTCGGCTTTACAGAAAACTAGTACTTAGGAGTTGGTTCCTTTGCCTGCTGGTAAGAATCTAGTTGTTTGCAAATGGGTCTACAAAGTCAATACTCATTCTGATGGTTCTCTTAAGCGCTACAAAGCTCGTCTAGTTGTCTAAGGCTTCTCACAAGAGTATGGTATTGATTATGATGAGACTTTTGCTCCTGTTGCCAAGATGACTGTTGTCCGTACTTTGATCTTTGTCGCTGCTGTTCGTTCTTGGCCTCTTTATCAGATGGATGTTAAGAATGCTTTTCTTAATGGCCATCTCACAGAGCAGGTTTACATACGTCCTCCCCCTGGTTTTCACATTCCTCTGGACAAGTTTGTCGCCTTTGGCGTGCTTTGTATGGTCTGAAGCAATCTCCTCGTGCTTGGTATGATCGCTTTCAGACTGTTGTTGCTACGCTTGGGTTTCATCCTTGTGCTCAAGACTCTGCTTTATTTCTTCTCCACACCTCTGTTGGATTTGTTGCCTTATTACTGTATGTGAATGATATGATCATTATTGGCTCTAACTCTTCTGTTATCTCTGAGGTCAAGCAGTATCTTTTCCATACCTTTGAAATGAAGGACTTGGGCCCCTTGCGGTATTTTCTTGCTATTAAAGTAGCTTCTTCTCTCAAGGGCTACTTTCTATCTCAGGCTAAGTATGCTAATGAAGTTATTCATCATGGTAGTCTTACTGACACTAAGATTTTTTATGCCCCATTGAGCTTAATGTGAAGCTTACCATTACTGGTGATGTTTTTCTAGATGATCCTACTTTACATCGAGAGCTTGTGGGTTGCTTAGTCTATTTGACGGTTACTCTCCCTAATCTTACCTATGTTGTTCATGTGGTTAGTCAGTTCGGTAGCCAAGAATAAGAGTCACCTGACATAGAGACCACACTGACCCCACACTCACCGCAAAGGGGACAAGCAGCATGCACAGTGAAGAATCATCACCAAGAAATATCAAGATAAGGCCAATCCAAGATATCTATAACGTAACCAGACACATGGATGAAGACTTTGAACTATTCTGCCTCTTCACAAGCAGTGATCCAATCAAATTTAAAGAAGCTCAACAAGAAGCCAAATGGAAAAAAGCCATGGATGAGGAAATAAGCGCCATCAAAAAGAATAACACACGAAAGCTTACAACTCTTCCAAAAAGATACAAGCCAATTGGCGTGAAATGGATCTACAAAACAAAGAGAAATGCCAAAGGAGAAGTCGAGAAGTATAAAGCAAGACTTGTAGTTAAGGGCTACAAGCAACAGTATGGAATTGATTATGAAAAAGTTTTCGCTCCAGTTGCTCGAATGAAGACAATCCGACTTTTCATCTCCTTAGCCGCACAACAAAGGTGACCAATTTATCAGATGAATGTCAAATCAGCATTTCTAAATGGCTATCTAGAAGAAGAAGTCTATGTTGATCAACCACTTGGGTATGTAAAGCAAGGACAAGAAGATAAGGTCTACAAATTGAAGAGAGCCCTCTACGGACTCAAGCAAGCCCCGCTAGCCTAGAATGCCAAAATCGACAAATATTTTGTCGCCAATGGGTTTATCAAACGCCCATATGAACATGCCTTATACATCAAGACAACCAATGGGGGAGATAAGTTATTTGTTTGTCTTTATGTTGATGATTTAATTTTTGCTGGCAACAATCTCAACATGATAAAAGACTTTAAAGCATCTATGATTCAAGAGTTCGAAATGAGATGTCGGACTTATGGCATATTATTTTGGCATTGAAGTCAAACAAAGTCATGAAGGCATATTCATCTTACAAGTCCTCTATACCAAAGAAATCTTGGCAAAGTTTGGAATGGAGAATAGTCATCTAGTTGACACTCTAATTGAAGGCGGAAGCAAGCTATCAAAATATGATGAAGGCAAAAATATTGATCCAACTTATTTCAAAAGTTTAGTCGGAAGCCTCCGCTATCTCATAGCTACACGTAGGGCTGCAAATGAACCGAACTGTTCATGAACAAGCTCAGCTCGGCTCAGCTCGTTTAGCAAACGAGCCGAGCTCGAGCTCGAGCTCGCATAAGCTCGGCTCGTTAAGTTCAACTTGTTTATTTTTATTTAAATTATATAATAAATATATTATTTATGTATTAAATAATACATAAATATATATAAATATATTATTTATATATTATAAATATATATATAAATAATACTAAAAAAAATTTATCGAGCCGAGCTCGAGTTTCATTAAAATTAACGAGCCAAGCCGAGCTCGAGCCCAGTTCCTTATCATGCCGAGTTCGAGCTCAATAAACGAGTTCGATAAGTAAATGAGCCAAGCTCGAGCTCAACTCGGCTCGGCTCAAATATTTTATATGGAGTTGGTGTAATCAGTCGCTTCATGGAAGAGCCCAAGACAACTCATTTGAAAACAACCAAGAGAATTCTTTGTTACTTGAAAGGAACAATAGAACATAGATTATTTTATCCATCTACAAATAACCACAGTCATATCGGATACAACAATAATGATTGGGCTAGTGATGTAGATGATCAGAAAAGCACCACAAGTTTTGCTTTCTTTCTAGGAGAGATAACATTGACCTGGTTGTCAAAGTAACAATCCATTGTGACTTTATCAACATGTGAAGCCGAGTACATTGCAGTTAACTCAGCAGGTATGTCATGGAATATGGCTAAGAAAAGTATTGAAGCATTTGGGTGTTGTACAAGAACAACCTATAGAAATTCATGTTGATAATCAATTAGCAATTGCACTAGCGAAGAATCCAGTGTTTCACGAACGAAGCAAACACATTGATACATGCTACCACTACATCCGAGAGCAAGTAAAGAATAAAGAAGTAAAATTAATCCCTTGCAAGTCTCAAGACCAAATAGCAGATATCTTTACAAAGCCGTTAACACATGAAGTGTTCAAAAGACTAGAGATACTTCTTGGAATGAAGAAACCCAGTGAATTGGGTTTGAGGGGGATGTTGAAAAATCCAAATCCAATTCCGTCAAGGATGATTGTCTCAACCATGAGATCATCAACAAGAAGCTTCATCATGATGCAATGAAAGCTAGAAGCTTGCAGAATGATGAAGAAGATTGAAGAAGCATGAAGATGAAGATGGAGAAGCTTCATGGTCAAAACCTTCGTCATGAAGGAAATGAAGAAAACGTGAGGAATTGAGCTGTGACTAGCTCACAGCCATGAGGTATTCACACCTGAACGGAAATCTATAGATAGATGATGTATGTTATTTTTTTAAATTATGAGATAGAGAAATAAAATCCTCCATTAAAGAAATAGATAAATACTACATTTATTCCAAAAATTCAAGAAATAAAAATTGAGTGCTTGTTCTTCCAATTGTATTCTCAAAACATCATTGGGATTCCATTCCCATATCTCATCAGTGGAATTTAATTTTCCATCAGTGGTAGTGGGGTGGTGGCAGTGGTGGAGTTGATGGTGGCAGTGATTACTTTATTCCGGAAAATGTTTTTCACCTTTCAGAAGTAGAACACGTTCTGTTCAAATAAGTTTGTTTTCCATTGACAACGAAAAGCATTTCTTTTCAGTTGACTTTCATTTTCTGTTATACCAAACGCTAGAAAATGCAAAGAGTGAATGGTGAATGAAAAGCAAACATAGCAATTACATGTCACTAGTGTGAGGGCAATCACATTAGGAAACAAGAACAGACCCACTACCAACGACAACTATTGCTATCACTAAGACTAAACATGAAATGCCCAAAAACGGTTACGTTCACAAGCAAGTACTGAGCAACCTCATTTCCAGCTTGTGCACATTTGTATAACAACCCATTAGCTTGCTGGAATAGCTCATATCAATTTGTGACACTCAAATCGTCAAAACGCACAGCTTTCAGGTTATTTGGGTCTTCAGCAATCTTCGCGAACAACGTTGAATTTGAACTGAACAGAAAGGTTAAAAGAATAAAAACTGAAATTTTAGCGAACATTATGAAACAAAAACAAACACAAAAATAAAAAGCATTAGCCATAGTAAAAGTCGATATTGTCAAGGCAAATACTCAGCCAAGTGAATCAAACACAACCAACTGAGCTGAATCTAAATCTCTCACATTAAATCAAACCTAACTGTCCAATTTGCAATTCAGTTTCAAGCAAATTTTGTTAACAACAATATTAAGTAAAAAACCTTCCGAAATTCCATGGTATGTATAAAATATAATATGACTAACTATTGGGCTTTGACAAGTGTCATATTATATAGATCAATTCCCTAGATGGACCATTCTAACAAGGAAAAAATTGTAAGTGCAGAGAATCGGAAACAACCCTCTCATATTAGGGTGGATCCCATTCCATGTGAGAGAGTTATGTCCAATTTTGTGATTGGAGTATGTGCACATCAAAGAACTGCACTACAAGATATCAATCCTCAGCCAAGCCAACTGAGGATTGGTTTTCATATTATTAACCAAGAGAGGATCCACTTGTAAAGGAAAAAAAAACTGAAAAGAAAAGAACAGTAATTTCAGATTGAGTAAATGGGTATGGTTCATAGCAGGATAGTAATCTAAGTTGCCAATTACTTGTGAACTGCAAAAGGCCTTTAGAGAAGAGTCTTACACAATCATTGCTCTCAAAAGATTTCCTGGCCTGTGTAGATTCCACTATTAAAATCATGATAAACTTCAAAAGATCGAAGAGCAGATCCGTAATTGTCACGACCATTGCTTTCGAAGTTTGAACTACTAGTAACATATGAACATGAAAGTCAAAAAATTACAGGGGTAAAAGAACCAAAAAATGATCAACAATCAGCCATAAAAGGAAATACCTTGTAAATTCCACATAAATGGATATGGGATGTAGACAATTTGTTCTTTTTTGTATACCAAGAAAGACACATCTCCAAGAAACCCATCAATACCAAGACAACTAATCCATGTTAACCAAATGGATTAGCAGTTTCAGAGCAAAAGCATTTTGAAAGTGACATCCTGAAATAAAACCTAAATCATCATTATATCAAAGATTCTTCTTATTAAGATTATATAGACAATTTCAAACAAATTAATTGAAAAAACTAATTATTTTACCGTGATGACAAAGAAAGAAAGTACAAGAGAAGAGATATATGAATCGCCTTTCTTGCTAGCCTCTAAATTAAGGCATATCCACTATGTTTAAAAGGATGTGTGAGAGGAAGCTATTTAAATTTACAAAAATGATACACCATAGCAACTAAAAACAATGCACAGCGATTGTATTTTTAAGAAGAAAGTTAGAAGGAAATCGGCGATCAAAAGACTAGTAAACTTGCATAGTTTGATAACAAAATGCACATAATTCCATTTGACCCCATTCTTGCACAAACTCCTAATCTTGAGTGGAACATAAATACCAAATTCTTCAAGGGAAAGATTAGGGCACGGGGGTGGGGAAGAGAAGGTTCACAATAAAGCCTGATATGTCACTAAGGTGCAGAGGCACAATATGAAGAAAGTGTTGGGTATACCTCCTTATTGGAGTGTGGGACCCAATTGGTTTGTTAAAGAATTTTAATTTGACTTGATTTAGGTATAATATATTATATTTGTGGAGACCCAATTCAATTTGGTTACAATTAGGGTTTGATTACAAAACCCAATACCCAATTATATATATATTGTTCAATAGTTGAGATAGACATATATTGGTTTTCACCAAAAAGAAAAACTGTAGCGGCTGCACTATTATTTTTCGATTTTTCAAAAAGGGGAGCAACCATTGGTTCTCATTGATAGTTGGTGAGATTAGTGCTTCCTAATTGATTCAGTGGGTTTGCTTGGGGATAACAGCGGCTGTTTGATCTGCGTTGATTGTGCTTTGTTCGTGACTGTTGTTGTCTCTTGATTCGGTTGATTTGGGATAATTATTTTGGATCTTCTAGAACTCTGGTTCTGAAGATTTTGGTTCATCTATTTGGTGAGGTCTTTCCTCTTGTTTATTTGTGATTATTTGGAATTCACCTAAGGGTGGTTTTGTGAGACCATTAGTGTCTCGTTTGTAATCGTTTGGAACTTATTTGGTTGATAGTGGAATCGGATTTCGATCCCGTGGACGTACCTCACATTGAGAGAACCACGTAAAAATTCTTGTGTTGCTTTTGATTTAATTTTTCCACATTAGTTTTTATTCCCATTGATTGATTTACTTGTGGGGAATCACATATTTTCCCTAACAGAAAGCACTTTATTTTATCCTAGGGGGCACTTAAATTTGTGATCTCTCTCCAATCTAAAATTAAAAATTAAAAAATTTGTGATCTCTCTCTCTCTGTATCTCTCTCTCTCTCTTCTTTTTTTAGTTTTTTTTCCTTTTGTACAAGGGTGGTGGCCCCTAGACACTTTCTCAAAAAAATAAATAAATAAATAAAATTATGGTGATATTGAGTGAAAAAGTGGGAATCAAAATTGTGTTACAAACAAGGAAAATGTAACCCCCATTTTTATATACATATATGATATTTCACTTAACTATCTATTCGCATGATAAACTCAAAATAATTATCATTTTTCCAAAATTGGTAATATTATGAGATATAAAAATGTTAAGCAAACAAAGAATCCCATAGTAGCTTTTAAATTTGCTAAGCTCTATTTTTACAAAATAGTTAGTTGCCAAATTTTCTAAATATCTAAATCTTAATCAACCTAGAAGATAAATGAATGAAGTTGACTAAAAAAAAAAAAAACAAATTTATTGAAAGGAAATAAATATTTAAAGAAAAAAGGGAAACATATGTGACAAGCCTACTCGACCCTGCCCATCTAATTCCTCTCAAATAGGGATGGCAAGTCAGGTATGGGACTAGGCTCCCTCTTCCCAACCCTGCCCCTTTGGAAAGCCCAATCCCACCTTAACCTACATAGCAAAGTTGTTAAAATCGAAATCCTACATAGGATCCTTCTTGAGGATTGGATCGTAAGATTTTACTTTTAGTACAAAATGAGTGTAAACTTATCAATAATGATAATTTACATCAAATCATGAAAAATTATAAATTTGATATAATTCATTTACAAAAAATTTAAATTTCTCTCCAAATATTTTAATTCAAATAATTTAAAGAAATCTTATTCTATAAATAAATAGAAGATTTTCACATTCTCTTCATTGTCCCAAATGAATTTCCTCACAAAAGAAGACACTTGAAGAGGGAGTTTCTGGTCAAAATTTTGATATATATATACACAGACATACACATACATATATGAAATAAATAAATTATAAGAAAAAGGTTGGTAGAATTGGAATTCCCGTAGGATTGGGATCATATTGCAATTCTATAGGATTTTGTGATTAGGATCGCAGTCATCCTAAGATCCTATAAAATTTTCGATCCAGTGCGATCCAGATCGTTTATCCAAACTGGGGTCATAGAATCGTAAGATTCGGATTGAGAATCCAATATCCTGTTATATAGTAGTGCTTCTCAAACTTGCACTGCGCCGATTTACCTAATTCCATTACTGCCCCACTCATATCCCAAATAAGATCACAATTCGAGATCTCATGTATTACCTTAGAGGCAAACACAAGAGAGGACGGAGATAAATGGCAATTAAGAGAATGGTATCTCCATAGTTAGACACTTAGATAAGTATAGTTGAGATAAATGATGAGATTCATATCTCTCAATGTATATACACATGCACATATGCATACAAATGCCTACAATATATACAAATCAATGAATTTGATTTAAAAGAGAGAAACTTGCAAGGAATTGGAGAAATGGCATAAGCAAGGGAGCTGATAGGGGAGGCGGCCAATTAGTGAGATAGAGGAGTTTATATCAAGAACCCTAAAGTCTAAATATGTTATATATATTTGAGGTATGCTTAGAAATATGAATACAAATCTAGGGGTATTTAAGTAATAAAGCACAATGCTCCCTCTTTGACCCCACCTCACTCCCAATTGGGTTTTCATCTTCTACCCCGAACACGCCCCTAATTAAATTAAACTTGAACCAAAACCTATCCCATTAGGGTCAGGAACTAGGTCATGCCTGTTAAATTTCCATCATTGACTTGACCCCAACTTGTGTTACATGGACTCCTCTATTTCAGCTCTTATACCTTTACCCAATTTAAAGACTTGGATCATCTTATTTTTTACTATGTTTGAAGAAGAAGAAACTCACATTTTCTATTAAAGAAATATTTCTAACATTTCACATGGATGAGAGATAGAGGGTTCGTTTGGTTTGTGTTTGTGAAAAATTTTTGGGAAATTTTCTCTACAAATAAGTTTTTAAAAGTAATCAAACCAAACAAATTTTCCCAAAAAAATTTCTCAAAACTTGTAAACCAAACAAGTTTTCCAAACAAATCTCTCTCTCAAACACAAACCAAACATACCCAGAAATTTCACATTTCTATAAATCTTATTTAATTTTAAGTACATTTCTACATAATTTACAACATTTTTTTTTTTTTTTGATAAATTACATAATTTACAACATTTTATCTAAGAATTTTATACAATTTGCAATATATGTGTGTGTGTCCATGATGTGTCCACATCCCCATAGCCAACTTTTGGATACATATCCCAATGGTTTATGAAGATTAGATGCTTGGATACACACCCGTACCCCATACTTGTACCTAAGTGTATGTAACATAGACCCCAACCTCAATAAGGATGTGACTCCAACCCCATCCCTATCTTGCCAATACCATAGAATAAACCAGAGAAGAAGAAAAAATGGAGAACTAAAATGTTCAAATACCATTTGAAGAATTTTGGTCGCGAATTACTTTTGCCGACCCTCAATTGGCGACCAAACTAGCGACAAAAAAAATTGGTCGCGGATAACTTTTGCCGACCAAAAATAGACTTTTAGCGACCAATTTTTTTGTTGCCAAAAGTGTTAATTCTTGTAGTGAGAACTAAAATGTTCAAATACCATTTGAAGTTTAACATACACAACAAATCTAGTGCTAAGATTAAATGTTGAAATTAAAAAAACAAATAAATCAAAACAAATGAAAATATGATGATAAGATTAATGGAGTTAGAGAGGCTCTTCAAGGACAATCTTTGGCTACAATATGGCAAGATGATAGCAACTTGGTTGTACTGCTACTTGTCTGGGATGATGCACATGATGAGACTACAAGATGATGGTGATCAAAGATGGTGAAGTAGCAAAGTGATGATGATTTCCAAAGGTGAGATACTAAGATCCATCTGCATAGGAATCTGATTTTGTTCACACAGCCAAAGAATGTGTGAACAATACATACATTTTGATTGGTGAAGAATAGTGGGGCCTGCCATTTTGGGTGTGGTCATTACACTTTTTTGGTATGGGGTCCATATATTTGGGCCAATCATATTGTGTATTGTTCACACACTAAAAAAAGTGTGTGAACAAATTCATTTTCATCTTTGTAGTGTTAGAGATAACACGGCTTGAAAGAAACACTGAGTCTCTATAACAATGTAGAGCTTTTTATAAAGAAACTAGCCTAAATTCATGTGTAAAGAGCATACAAGTCTAAATTTCCATCCCTAATTCCATCAATCAATGTTTATAAACAAATAAAATTCTACTCCAATGCAAATTTTTTTTTTAAATTTTTAAATTTTGAGGAACTGGTCTAAATGCACACGCTACCTGTGACGTATTGTCATATAATTGTTTGGTACCATGGATACCAAGCTTTGGAATTGGAATTCAATGTCATCTTAGTTCAAAACTTTGACTAAGATGACCTCAAATTCCAAATCCAATACATGAATTATGTAGTGCAAAATGTGGCAATGAAGTACTTGGATAACATAATACTTGAAAAATATATTCTGTACGTAGATGTTTTGGATGGACAATGCATATATTATTAGTTTGTGTGACACACAAATTTGAGTTTACCCTGAGAAGCCTGATTCCATTACTATCTCCAGAAGGGCCAAATTTCATTCTTCACCTGAGATTCATATACTAGAATCAAGCATCCAGTTGAATCCTAAAAATTCAACTTTAGATTCTTTACTCCATCATAGAAACCTTTTGACAATAGGATAAGCATATGTATGGTATACGTTCAATGAGAGGGGGTAAAAAAAAAAAACGAGCATACCTTCATGACATGAAATGTCTACTGTGAATGGTGTGATAAAAGGTTTCTTGTTCTTGTTCTTTTAATTCCAATTGTCTGACATAGTTTGTAATTTGCAGCACAAATTGACTCCGCTAATGAATGCTTGCCTAGCCAATTGGCCCAGTTCAGGTTTGCATCTCCAAATGCAGAGTTTGGATTTAAACTTTTAGGCAACTCGAAATGCACAATGATTGCCTACAAAATTCTTTTTGATGAAAGGGACGGTGCTGACAAGACTCTACTCTTATAAAAGTAAGCTAGAGGCACGGATACATTACCAGAAAATTGGCTGACTCTTGCTTCCTTTGCAAAGTTCTGCTTGTTGAAAGAACAAAAAAGGCTCCTTTGTCCTGGTTTCAGGCCATGAACCACTAAAGGTATTGTTCTTTGATGATTTAGTCTGAAAATTCTATAATGTACCTGCTAACAAAATCAATATGCTTAATAAGGTCCTTGTGGTTAATGAAAGGGGCAGGCTGCACAGAAAGGAAATGAAGAATGTTTTATCATAAAAGGAAAGCATATGAAAAAATTTAAACTGCCGTTATTGCAAGTAATTATGACTTTATTAGGACAGTTTGTGTGCTTCAAGTTATAGACATGTAAGATTATAGAAGTTTTCCATCATCCAAATATGCAGAAAGGTATGGAGTTGCTCACATGAAAAAGCTAGTTATGAGTATGACCGGTGTTACCAGAAAGCAGTAATACCCTAGAGATTTATGTTTTGAAACACACATTCTGAAACATGATACACTTCCGGTCCAAAATACTGAACTTATCCATCTAAAGCAATCTAAAAAAAAAAAATCTTATTTATTCCTAACATTATCCTTAAGAGGAAAGCAATCAAATATAATGAATTAAAATCTAGAAAGGGAATTGTGGCAGAGCGAAATGTAATAAAAGATGACATAATTCTCCTAGGAATGCATTTTTACATGATTAATTTGAAGAATAGTAGGCTATGCTTCATTCGATGTGTAATTGTTAACAAAAAATTGTTCTCACAGTTAGAACTGTATAAAATCCAAATAGCGTGATCTTTTTGCAATCTACCCCTATTATATCACATTTTGGAACACATGGCTTACCATGTTCCTGTTCCTATTCCTTGTATTGTTACAATCAGCATTCCAAGTAACTTTGAGCATGACTTAACACAGTGTAGGCATCTAAAATAGATGGAACATGCCTAGCATGGCTAACTAAAAAAAAAGTGAACAGCAGCACGTACTACAGTCAAAATAATGCACATAGTACCAACATCTCCAAGACATTCATCTGGAAGAAACTGCAAACTATTCAGCCCTTAAAGATAAAAAAAACTAAAGCAAGCAATCACTCATCTTACATACAGTGACATTGTAGTATATTAACAATATTGAAGTGACATGTAACTTATGTACCAAAATGTGAGATTGTCAAATCAGATTCTGAAGCATGGTTATTAAGCCAAAAGGAGGGAACTGCAAATTGTTTCCCTTGTTCATTCTTTCATCAGTTTGACATTGAAATGAGCTCTGATTGGTATGTTGAACTTATTTAAACTTTTCAGCAGCCTTTGAAGACTATTTCCTATAAATAAATAAAAAATCCTGGCCAGCACTAAAGAGAATTGAAGCCTTTCTTCGAGAACTTATTTAATTAGATTTTTTAATTTTTTGATTAGAGGACAAGAGAGAGATAAAATAGCATCCCCCAACCCTGAAAGACACACACTCATGCACAAAGAGACACAAATTGAGTGTGAAGCTCAGGCTTCAAAACACAACTTCAGTAGGTTACAAGTCCTAATGCCTCAAATGCCAATGCATATACAGTCATGGTGAAAGGACATCACCTGGGAAATTTTAAGGCTCTATTTGGAAGAGCTTTGGAATTGTAATTCCATCTCTTGGTTTGCACGTGGTGTTTGGTTGTAGTTTTCAAAAATTAATTTCACACCCACTTTTGAAAACTCCTTTCCAGGCGAGAGAATTTGGCTAACCTAGTCGTCCCCCCGGACGTCCGAGTGGTTGACCGGCTAGTTGACCAGAATAATGTACATTTTTTTTTTTTTTGCACTGTTATTTTTATATTTTAAATAAAAAATATTTCCAAAATTTTTTTAAAATTGGATTTTGGGTTGTGTGTTTGGTTATGAGTTGTAAGTTTTTTAATTAAATATCATATGTCACATCATTCATTTCAAACTCAATTCAAACCTCTTTCCAAAACTCTTTTCAAAACTCATAACCAAATAAATTTTCCACACTCAAATCATAATTCCAAAACTCACAAACTCAAAATACAACTCCTATTCTCAAATCATATTTAGAAAACTCTACCAAACGCTACCTAAATTAAAATTGAATTGTAACTGTATAGACTATTGCCATGGACTTTCTATTTTTGCACCAAGGAAAGAAAGAAAAAGTTTGTGAACTGTACAAAAGAATATAAACTTCCTTTTATGCAGTTTTGAAGAGCAATGACCAGATGAAATTAAATTTAAAATGATAAACTCACATCATTGTTTAAAATAATTGAATAGATAAATACACATTTAATTTAAAGGCAAGCCTATCATTGCAGAAAGTTCATGCCCCTTCTAATAAGCTCTCCATTTAATTGGTCCACTTGTGAGTGCCATATCAACATCTTTCTCTCAATAAGATGGTTATACTAGTACAAAGTTGGAAGCAAATACTCAGAACTTGGCCCACATGTATCAAACAAACAAACCAGATCAAATGGGACTATGTGTTATTAGATCTGATATTGTTTTTAAGTGAACTTCTAACCGTAATATGGCCACACAATGTTTAATCAAATGGTAAGTTGTGTCTCAATTTACATACAATGCTGGACCTAAATATAGGGGTCTCAAGAACATGAGCAGAAACTCATGATAGATTTTTTAAATATAAAAAAAATAATAAAAAAAATTAATGATCCACAATTAATTTATTGAATGACAATACTTACTTTATGATCACGTGGAGCTAAATTGGCAATTGACCTCATTTCCTTTTCTTTTTTTTCTTTTTTTGTTTTGGATTACTAGAGATTTCCTTCTATGACATTTTTGGGATAAACTTTTTTTTTTTACTTTCATATTTCACCGGTTCACTATAATTCCCCAAAGCAATTGCAGTGCATTAAGAAAAGTTCAAATGGGCTACAATGAACATTATGTGATGTAATAAACAACTGGAATCAAAGGGCCATTTATTCAAAGCCCAGTATTCATTTCTTCATTCATGAAACTGTCCATGGCTGGCCGTAAAATGAGTGATGAAAGACAACGCTAGAGAATTGCTTGGGAGATAACACAACCAGACACCTTGACTATGGGGAAGAAACACTGAGAAGATTTTAGAAGGTCCTTATGTACTCTCCTCTCCAACTATTGGAAGTGTTTACAAATATTGTCTTCTTAAACCTGAAAACAGTGACTTAATCTGCTTAATTGCAATCTACGCATTTAGCTGTGAACAGATGTCCAAACTAAGGTTGGTCAGAAATCCCTTAATTCCAAATTTGAATTTGACAATGCATCATTTTGAAAAAGATAACTTTTGTCATTCACGCTATATGCCCAATTGGGGTTGATTTACCGTTTACTTATTTATTTATTATTGGTGTAGGGAGAAGAAACCCAAAAATAGTATACAGATAAACTAATCAGGACTGGCTTAGTTCACCAGAATCCTTGCATCTTACTTGGAGGTCAATGGCTCGAGTCTTGCCACAAGCCCCTCCTCCCAAGCTATGGCCTCCGATGTACCAAAAATATTTTTTTAAAGAAAGTGCATGAATAAAACTCAAGGGGTAAACAAGCTCAAGTTTGAACTGCCAAGCAAGATTCAGCAAATACCAAGTAAATATGAAAGTAACAACTACAGAAAATATGCTCGAAACCCCTTAAAGCCTAATAGATAGGTACTACAGTTACTCTCCAGGGAAAAAAAAAAAAAAAAAGGAGGGCTTGAAGAGAATGATGAACATGGACACCAAGTACCTTAAACAAAATTATCAATACTGCATAGAGAGGGCAGATGCCTTCAAAATCCATTTTTGTGGAAGAAAATGTCATCCAAGGCAAAAGTTGCATTTCGTCGATGTGATTCATATACTCTGCCGAGATCTTTGCATTCCTTCTTCAGCTCTCTAAATGTAGAGCTGGAAAGTTCATTGGTCTCCTGAATTACTGCTTCCTTGAAGGTAAGCCAGTGCTTTACAAGATAGTAAAAAAACCTTTCTCCCAGGTCAATATACCGAATATTGGCTTCCTTCTTTCGCTTTCCAAGCTTCACTGGAATCAATTGTTCAGCTATATCATTGCATTCCCTCTTCAGCTCTTTTAGATTTGAGCTAGATGGTGCATAGGTCTCATGAAATTCTTCCCTTTTGAAGTCAATTTCCATGAGCTTTGCAGGACAGTGAAAAAGCCTTTCCCCCAGGTCAATACACAGAGCATTGAGTCCTCTATTTCCCTCTCCTGACTCTACTGAAAATCCCTTCAATTTTTGACATGGATACCACATTTTTCCTTTCTTACCCAGATGTACAACAGCTTGGAGAATGCTAGACATCCCATTGATGCTATAGAAGAAGTTGAGAGAGCCACTCACAGATCCAAAGAAGTACTTAAAGTAATTATCTAAATGCGGACGCATAGTAACAAAGTCTACAAGGCCGCATAGTAACACGAACAGTCTCACAAGTTCAGCGTGAGTTAAACTTCCACCTGATCTTTTGCTAGTACTTGCTTGGTCTGCCATAAAATGGGCCATGAAAGAAGCTGTAGTATCTTTCTCAGCAACCAAGCTGATGCTTGCTAGACCAATGAGATCTTTTGATGCCCTCTTCCACAACTGAGAAGAAGTTACCAGTATTATCTGCTAAAGGCAAGAAAAACATGTTCTTAAATTTAATATGAGTTTGTCAAGCACATTAAAAAGAACAAGCAAAAAAGATTTGACCGGTAAAAGACATCACCTAAACAAACAAAAAACTTCTACTGCTTTCAACTATGAAGACCCAAAAACATCAGTTGGTGACCCAATACAATTACCTTTGATAACATGTACTGGGCAGTAACATTTCCAGCTTGAGAACATTTGTTTATTAAACCATGAATGCACTGGTATGATTCATAGTGATCTGATAGCCCCAAATTGTCAAAATTGGCAGCTCTTAAGACATCCTCATCATTAGCAAATTTAGCGAAATCTCTGTTACTACAATGAAAGGTTGTCAGAACAGAAGGGACACTACATGGAAAACAAAATCGAATAATTAACTTGGAAATAGGTTTTAGTTAATAAATTTCCAAATTATCGATGTTTTCAAAATGTAGAAAGCTATGTTACATGTACTCTTCTAAATTTGTGAAGTACCCATCTCGGACACTTGGCACTTGGGTAAGGATAAGGGGTATGTGTTTGATATGCATAGTTGGAGATACACCTAACAAGAATGTATAGTCGAGTTTATTCTATAATTATGCATAAGACTTCTATTTTATACATAACATGATGTATTTTAGCATGCCAAAATCATTTTACCCCATAAAAATAATGCTAGTACTTAAAAAATATGAAATAAAGCCATGCCTTGGTGTCTTGAACATGAGAATTAAATGAATCCTGACACTTTACCTGCATCCGACACCCTTACCGAAGTTCATGTAACATAGGTAGAAAATAGAAAGTTGCTGACTAAGAACCAAGCAAAAAATAAACCTCAGAACCAACACAACCTTAGCCTAGAAACAACACAATCAACCCAAACTTAGATCAACACTGAACTATTTAAAATTGGGCCAGACAGACTAGTAGAAGTAGTATTTAGACAAATCAATACTTCTGGAATCTCATTTATACTCACAAATGCGCACAAAAATGCACACATCAAGGCAGAAAGCAAATCAGAAAGATATTAGCGTAGATCAATTTCACCATCAAGTTTAATTAATTTCCATCCAAACAGATATAAGCTCATTTCTTTCATTATCAACCAACATCCAACCAATTGATGCGCAAATGCATAGTTGTACAATGCAAGCGAAGGTCGTGTGGGCAAATGAAATATTGTTTGGAGTTGCACCTGTGATAGTAAAGTTATAGGCTTATAGCAATTTCAAAAATAAAAATAAAAAAACTTACACAGATATTGCCCTTGCCAGATGTACTCCGCCTTTTGATGATTTCACCACAAAAAGCATAATTATTTTTAACAGATCATAGTGCAAATCAGTAATCATCGCTTGCATCTTCTTCATTGCTTCTTAAACTGCCAACAAAATTTATAAATAGTCATGACTGAAAAATAAGGCACCACACCCATGCACAAACAAATTGATCAACAAACAGCTGCAACAAATTAAGCACATATATAGGCTGCAAATGTGTGTCACATTGTTACACGGTCTTGGGTAGAACTCAACCCCAAAAGCTAGCTATTGAGGTGAAGGTGCCCTCACGGTTATATACTTCACATTATTTTAGTACCTAGGCAATGTGGGACTCTATAAACAGGATCTTTTGTGCTGATACAAAAATAATGTAAGACAATGCAACAAACAGTCTCCAACAAAATTTCACTTGAAAATTGATGTAGGTCAATAGTTGTGGAGCCAGTTTAGGAATAACATAATTAGGAAGAGACATGAGATTTTAAGTTTTGAAAAGGCATACTAAAAAGGTAGGGTTTCAGGGCTTTACTAGGCAGTAAAAACCAAGTTTTAGGCTTTTTCTGTGCTGGATAAGTACCCATGATAGAGCTCTTTGCTGATTTTGGCTTTCTTTTGTAGGCAATAGTTGTATAATTGTAAAGGAAATTAGGATATTGGCAAAACAAAGGCTAACCATATCTAGGTGTGGCCCTGTGAAGACTTTAAAGATAGAAAAAGAAATGAATTAAAAGAAGAGTCTAGACATCACATTTAGATTCTCATAGGCATCACATCTGAAGTTAAAAATGCATTACACATGCAAGAGCAGAAGTACTGAAAGTTTCTCTGAATCAAGCTTTATATTGAACTAAAAAAATATATAGGCTTCCAATGAGTCCCAACTCTAAAGGACTATGACTCTACAGTTAGAAACTACAGACTCTAACACTTACTTGCTTAGAAGATCCAAAAAATGGAAACCAATTTATCGACACCCATCTCTGTTTTTTTTTCTTTTGCCAATCAATAGGAGAATAATTGCAAATACAAGAAGAATTACATCACACATATCTAGAAACCCAACAACTGCCATAAGAAAGCCCATAATGGCAAGAAATAAATAACTTGATACAACCCTAATAATTGGGTAGAAATAATCAACCTTTGCCTTTGACAAGAATTGACCCCCTAACTTTCTGGATAAAAGTACACAAGATTGGCCAACTGAACTAACCCAGTTTTGTTTTTATCTAAGTCAATTCTCTATTCCATTAAGAGTCCATAAAAAATATATAGTCTTGCTACTTGACAAATGTCCGTTTGTTTTCATTTTTGTTATGATATGTTTTAAGAAGCAAATTAAAGCAGCACCTAAAACACACACACCCCCCCGAAAGAAAGAAAGAAAAAAAAAAAAAAATCAAAACACACACATGCACACACACTTTAAACTGCAGATTTCAATACCATAGGCTACAAGGCTCATGGTAGATGCTTTCCAAAAAAAAGGCCATGGTACACATTAATAAATTTAAACTATCAAAGATACCTTGCTTATAACATGATAAAAATACATTTATCTAGAACTACATAATTTTGGTTGCTCTTATATTTGTGGCACAATGGACGTTGCAATTAGAGTGAAATTCATATCAAGAAGGCTAATCACATCCTTGATGTATAAAACCACATCCGCCATATCAGCCATCTCCTAGGAAGCATGGGCATAGACACGTGACACGATACGGACATGCAAATTTTTTAAAAATATAGGAAACAACACGTTGGGGACACGTGTAAAACGTATAATTTTATATATTTATTATGTCAGATATTTAAATATTTAATATGTATTTTATGTCAAATATTTAATTTTATCAAATTTATCAACCTTAGGTATGCTATTTGTTAGTAAAAAAAAAAATTATATTATTTTTTGAAAAAAATAGTCCTTAACGTGTCCCCAACATGTCCAACTCTTTCCAACATGTCTGACACGTGTCTAGAGCGTGTCCGGCACGTGCCAATGTCCAACACGTATCGGACACTTGTATGTGTCTTCCAAAGAGGTGTCCGTGCTTTATAGGCCTTCTCTATACCATGTCTCATTGATGTTCATAAAAATTACACACACACACACAAAAGGCCTTGATTTTTCAATTTTCAATCATCACACACAAAATCTTCTTCATCCTTGCCCTATGTCCTTCATATATACTTGTATACATGCATACTCACACTATCATTTCAGGAAGCTCCATTAAATTTTTTAATTTCTCTCAAAATATTTTAATTCAAATAATTAAAGAAATCTAATTCTATAAATAAATAGAAGCTTTTCACATTTTCTTCAAGTTTCCAAATGAATTTTCTCACAAAAGCTGACACTTCAAGAGGCAATTTTGGTCAAAATTTTGATATAAAGATATATGTGTATATATATACAGACATACACAGACATATATGGAAAAATATAAATTATAAGAAAAAGGGTTGGTAGAATCGGGATCATATTGTGATTCTACACGATTTTGTGATTAGAATCATAGTCACCTCAAGATCCTACAAAATTTTAGATCTAGTGCGATCCAAATTGTTTATCCAAACTAGGGTCATAGAATCATAAGATCCAGATTGAGATTTTGATAACCATGCTACATAGTAGTGCTTCCCAACCTTGCACTGTGCCAATTTACCTAACTCCATTACACCCCACTCATGTTCTAAATAAGATCATAAATCGAGATCTCACAGTGTATCACCTTTGAGGCAAAAACAAGAGGAAGGAGAAAAATGGCAGTTAAGAGAATGGTATCTCCATAATTAGACACTTTGATATAAGTGTAATTGAGATAAATGATGAGATTCATATCTCTCAATGTATGTACACATGAAAATAAACATACAAATACCTATAACATATACAAATCTAAAAATTTGATTTAAAAGAGAGAACAAACACACCAAGAACTGGAGAAATGGCATAAGCAAGGGAGTTGATAGGGGAGGCGGCCAGTCTATCAGTGAGATGGAGGAGTTTATATCAAGAACCCTAGAGTCTAAATGAGTTATATATACTTGACGTGTGTTTATAAATATTTCTGCAAGTCTACGGATATTTAAGTAATAAAACACAATTAGGTCAAGGATGGGGCAAGTTTGCTCCCTCTTTGAACCCACCACACCTCAAACTGGGTTTTCATCTTCTACCTCCTACGTTGCACGGACTCATCATTTTTGGCAAAGTACCCATGTCGACACAACACGACACAGGTACAGGTATGGAATCCAGCATAAATAAGTTAATAAGAAAATGGATACGGCATACCTATGCTTCTGATTATCTTGATTTGTCTTCGATCTCCTCTTCTGTGATCTCGCCACGATCGACTACTCTTCTACAATCTTGTCTCCTTCTTCTTCTTCTACTTCTTCTTCTTCTTCTTCTTCTTCTTCTTCTTCTTCTCCTCCTCTCTCTCTCTCTCTCTCTCTACTTTTTATCTCCTCTTTAATAGATAATAACCAAATTATTTTATTTTATCTTTTTAAGAAAAAAATTTTAAAAAAAATCATTATTTTTTAAAATAAATCTAAATAAATCGTATATAATATAATTTATTTTATGCCTAAAATATTTTTTATTTTTTATTTATTTTAACAGAAAAATATTTTATGCAATGTTGTTAGAAAAATACATAATATTTTATCAAAAAAATACACTATTTTTTTTTACACATCCATGTTTAGTTGTATCCACATACCCATGTCTAATTTTTGGGTACTTTTTAGACGTACCCGTTTATCCCTCGTTTAGAAAAGTCTGACCTCTAGATGCATACCCGCACCCAACACTTGTACCCGAGTCCATGGTACGAGTCCATGTAACATAGTCTACCCCAAAAGCACCCCTAATTTGATTAAAGATGAACCATAACCTATCCCATTAGGGTTGGGAATCAGGTCATGCTTGTTAAATTTCCATCCCTAACTCGACCCCAACTTGTGTTACATGAACTCTTCTAATTCACCTCTTACACTTTTACCCAATTTAAACATTTGGATCATATAATTTTTTCAACTGCATACATACACACACTATCATTTTAGGAAGGTCCATTAATATCAAAACCCTAGGGAAGTTTTCACAATAACGTACAATCAAGTCATCATATCATCAATTGAAATAGATATTATCATTCGAATCTAAACAATACAGCTAGTGATTTTTGTATGATTCTAAATCAATTCACACAGGATTGATCTAACCCAAACAATTTGCCAAGAAAATGTGATAAAGATGTTGCACTTACTAATGAACAAACTGACCACAAGTTGCAAGTAAGGCAATGGCAGCCTCAAATCTCTCTCGCTCTCTCAGATATAGCAATGTAGGGTACCTGTCTCCAAATTTCCAAATGTGCATAGCTTACCCAAGCAACTTGTTTTGGTTAGCATTGAATGGTATGACAAATGGCTTTAGGATGGTCATTATTCATCACCCCCTCCCAAGCTCAAGTTGGCTCTGTTATGGGCTAAGAAGGATGGACATGACACATGACACAGCATGGATACATGGACAAGTAAATTTTAACAAAATGCAAGACACGACACGTTAGGAACACATGTAAAAAATATAATTTTATATATTTATTATGTACCTTATCTCAAATATTTAATTTTATCAAAATTATCAACTTCAAGTATGTTACTTTAGTAAAATAAATTAAAAACTTCAATTTTTTTAAAAAAAAATAATCTTCAACGTTTCCTCCAATGTGTCCTCAGCGTATCCCAATGTGTCGGACACTCGTACGTGACCTCCGGAGAGGTGTAGGTTTGTAGACACAAATTCTAAAACATGAAGCATTTCAACACATTTCAAAATTTTATATTACAAATGTCCACTGTTTAGTTTTTTGACTAAACAGTGTTGATTATTTGAATAGCAGGTTCTTATTTCCGATCTGTATTTCAGATCGTTAATTACACATTTTATACAAATGAAACCTCCGATTAATGAAGAACAAAATAAACAACATATGACAAATTAAAAAAAGAAATATTTTATTGAGATTGTTATGGGTTTTGAACCCTCGAATACAAAATGCAGTTTGGGTTTGGAACCCTTTACCTATTCATCGCCATTAGCGTAGGCTCTTCAGTTCTCTAGGCTTCTCTTCTTCTTTTTTTTGTAACGGCTTCTTTAGCTCTCAATTTCTTTCTCTCTCTCTCTGATCTTTTCCCTTTTGATTTTCTCCTCTCCCGTCTTGTGTGATGGTCCTCATATTTATGGAGGGCCATCAGGTGATAGGAAAGCTTCATCTTCAATTTGAATTTCAAATTGAATGATAGCGCCATTTGAATTGTGAATAATAGCGCTATCTGATTAATCGTATATCTTATTAACCGGATTGATGGTTTCATCCTGTGTGGTGTCCTTGCTGTAAACTCTACAGGTGTCATCTTTCGTAGGCTCCACGTGTCATTTGAGCATCTTGAATAACGTTGTTGAGATACAACGTCGTTTTACTTATGTACTTCAACGGATCATATTGATCTTTTTTAGGAAGTGATTACCTACAGCCTTCTTATTATAGGCTCTATACGTGTCATAAATTTAGTTAAAATTTATGTGCCAACAAGGTTATGTGGTTTTTTGGGTTGCAAAGCCCTATTAAGTTCCTTGATAATTAATCGTAAGTCCCCTTATGATCCAAAAGAAAAAGATATAGGAATCCACCAAATTACATATCTAAACAATTTAGACAACTAGACAAAAGATAGGATATGGATATTAATATGAGTAACGTTAAATAGGAGAAACAAAGGCAGCCCAAGGTTATCATTCTACAATTGACTTCGTAATAAATTTATTTACTTTAGCCACTAATATTGTTGCTAGTTTGATTATATCATACAGAGAGGGCTGGAGTTATTGATTTATCATAGTTTTTGCAATTTACAAAACCATAAGCGGCTATAATATTCACTATTTTTGGCTTACCTGAGCTAGTTTCCATTATGTCAGCTAATCATTTACACTATGTTTGGTTGGGGGATTTGGGAAGTGATTTGGAAAGGGAAAGGGAAAAGGTGTGTGAAACTAGGTGAAATATAGATATGTTTTATTCACATTTCACCTACATTTTTCATTTCTCTTTCCAAATCCCTCCTCAAGTCCCCCAACCAAACACAAAATTAAAGTAGATAAACAAGTACCCTGCTCACTATTTTTCAAACCACCAAGTATTGGAAATAAATGTATTAGATTATAAATCAGGTACCTTAAAAAGGAAATGTTAGTACTAAAGCATCATTTATTACTTTGTAAGAAATTCAGTGAACATCATCTAATAAAGTATTTTTTAGTGACTTCAAATAAAAAGAATATATTTTGTAAAAATTAAGGCTTTAGAAATAACCACATCACAAGCATAAGAGATTAGAAATTCAGCAATAACTAGGATGACTGTTACTTACAATTTTAGCCTATTTTTATGATGTATATAAATTTTTAAATGATATGAATTGTTGTTCAAACGACTGGAACACATTAAATTTAAGTGCTAACTTGAGTTAGCAAACAGCCTCTTAGTTTGAACCACCCAAATGAGACCATTCAAAGTTTCCACATCCATAGTGCATCATAAAATCTACCATATATTATTATTATGGATAAAATATATTTATCGTCTTTAAAATATGCGTTTCTTGTCACTTTGGCCATTTCAGTTTTAATTTTGTCAATTTTGTCTTTAAAATTTTCAACTCGAGTCAATTTGGTGTAATTCCAAACTCACCGACTAAATAGTTAACAGAATGGTAATAAAATACACATATGATCCTTAAATATGTGTTTCATGTCACTTTGGTTCCTAAAGTTTTTAATTGTCAATTTGGTCCTAAAACATTGATGAAGAAAAGGGAACATAATCTTACAATATTGCGAGACAAAATTGATACTTTGGGGACCAAAATGACACAAAATATATACATGCGGACCATAGTTGAAATTTATAATTATTCCATTAACAATTTAAATGATTGTTTGGAATTGGACAAATTGAACTCAAATTGAAAACTTTAAAGATGAAATTAACAAAATTAAAAACTTTTAAAGGACCAAAGTGACATGAAATGCATACATTAAGGACCATTGGTGTATCTTATCCTATTACTATTATTATGAGACTTGAACCTACTAATTTGATATACAAAAATGTAAATCTAACCTAGAAATCATTCAATCAATAAGAAAATAAAAATAAAACTTAGAAATCAATTGACGTTGAACCCACATGAGACTTGAACATACATGATCAAAGCAGTAGGTTGAAGTTAAAATTCTCATAGACCCAAAATCATACAAGTGGTGTGCACAATAGTGGAGATTGTGAATGCATAGTATCTTCAGTAGTATTGGCTTCAATGACCCAACAAAAACACAGAATACTTGCATTGAAACCTAAAATGATAATCAAAACTATCAAATCTTACACGCTAAACCATTCAAAACATCTTTTGCTTACTTGTTGTATTGCCTCAAATATTCCGGCCAATGATCCTCGCCAACTGCCTATTAGTTTTTGAGCTTTCGTCATATTTCGGTTTTTCTCAAGGTTTTAAAATTACATTCCTTCTCGTTGTAATTAACACTGTTGACAGACATAGTAAATTGATTAAAATGTTTCTAATTATGCTTAAAATGTTTCTAATTATGCAATGCAGAGAAATGATGATATTTAATTGATACATCATGTCAATTCAGGTAATAATTTTTAAGTATTTGTTTTAAAAGTTTTTTTTTAAAATTAAAAATTAATTTGGTAAAGAAATAAAAAAATGGATAAATAATTATCATTTTATATAATTTTATTTTTAAGAGGTTAGAAATAATTTTTACAAATTCAATATATTTTAATTAGTTTCTATTTTTTCAAAAGAATATTCTGAAATTTTTTTTTAAATAGCAAATCAAACATGATTCTAAAAACTTAGGTAGCGTTTGGGTTAAAACTCAAATCATGATTTGAATAAAAAAATTTCAAAACTCATAATTAAACTCTTTTCAAAATTCTATTTAAAAAAATTAATAAATTCAAAATAAATGTTTTTTATTTTGTTCTTTAAATTATTATTTTGAAAAAATATTTTTTATTTTTTATTTTTTTGAAAAAAATTATTTTATTTCAGAATCATGTTGCTATTGATTCGTGTCGCTACTTAAAGTGCTATTTTTATTTAATCAACTCTGTTCCTTTCCTCTACAATTGTTTCCAATTCTCTTAATCTGTCAAAACTTTATCTGTGTCTTTCCACTTTGTCACTAGCCACCCATCTTTCGTCACAGGTCCTAGGTAAGTCCTTTGGTTAGACAATATTAGATACATAAGGGTTTTCCGGAATGGGTATGTGTGAACACATCGTATATGAAAACATAATAAGTTTAGACAATGTATTAAGCTCACTGTAAGCCATTTTAAGAAAAGGAAAAAATGAGTCGATTATTTAGAAGTAACTCTTCTGCCAGCTCCAGGTCAATAACACTACCCCCTATACCTAATCAAGGTTTAGTAATTAATGAAGAAGATGTAGAAGTACAAAATGATAACATTGATATAAGTTGGAACATACCACAATTACCGATTAAAGAAATATATAAAACTATTTTCCTGCAGTCTACATTCCATGTAAACTTTCATGTTAAAACCTTAGAACAAGTTTATGCTTCAGAAAAACCTAGAGAAACATGTCAATTACTTGATGTTAACACTATTAAACGTCATTTAAAAACTGGTCATAATTTTATTTACTTAGGATTAATTCAAGTTAGAATCAAACCATTAATACAACAAGGAAAAAAATACTTATGTTTTATTATGTTTAAGAGATGCTCGCTTTCTTAACTATAATGATAGTTTAATAGGTATGATGGAAACTGATCTCCACAGAGGACCCGTCCATTTTAATTGCTTTCCTGATTTTACTCTTAGTGTTAGAGATCCACACATATTAGATGCTTTAACTTTGAATATTTAGTTAAATGGTTCTTTTACAAATATGAAAGAAAAAGTTCATAATATTGCATTAATTTATCGTGTTTATTACAAATGTATTAAAACTAATTTAAATGCTCAAGTTTTACATAAAAGTCCAAAAAACAAAACTTTACTGATTCAAAGTAATAGTAATGATACTAATATAAATATTCCTAAAATGATTGAATGGAAAGATATTACTCTCAATGAAAATTACAGACATAACAAAAAACAGTCTACTAGTCGAGATATCGAAGATATTCAACAATTTACTGATGGCTCAATTAGAATTAAATTTAATAGATCTACTCAAATTTATTGGGGGTATGACTTAAAAGTCAGTTTGTGTAGGTGAGTCCTGAGAGATAGTATCTTCTTCAGGAAGATGAGTATAACTTGAATAGACAGGTTTACTAATTTGGGAAATTGCAGAATCATCGACTCCTTTCATTTTACTATGTGAAGTTTGACCAATATAAATTTGACTGTTTTTCCTAAATAAAGGTGTATTAAATATTTCATCTTCTGTTTCAGTATCAATATGTATACTAGAAGTACTACGTCTATCAGGAATAGAATTTTGACAACTAGGTATATATTCAATTTCAAAATCAAAATACTTAAAATAAATTGCCAACAAGCAAAAATTTGCTCTCCAGCAAGATTTTGAACATCTTTTTCTAAAACATATTTAGCAGATTTGCAATCAACACGAAGTAAAAATTTTTGATTTAAAATATCATATTGAAATTTACTAATACATAAAACAGTAGATAAAATCTCTTGTTTAGTAGTATTGTAATTTTTTTATGCTTTTAATACAATCTTCTCGTAGCATTACTCTGGATGTAAAAACATCTTTATACTAGCAAAAATC